TTGATCAATTAGCGGTAGAGCGCGACGAATCGATTTATGAAATGCTCTCGACCATAAGCGAATAAATATGTTGACGAACGCGCTCTAACACTAATTACGAAATCGCAAAATCGCCAGAGTCGCTCTTCGCAACCGGCGATGTCGCGAACTATGAACGCTTCCTTTTACCCAAAAGGAGTCAAGAAACTCGCTCATTCAAAAATTACAATGAAATGGGCTGAATATCGTCTGCTCAGAATGCCTAACCATATTTGAGACCTTGAGCAATGCCGGAATCACTGGTTAGCACTACTGACTAGTTAATGTGCAGTACAAACAACAATAATGATATGAAGAAAACACTGGGAAGTATGAAGAAATAAATTCTATGGATATATAAAACAATACAGCGCTATATTAGAGCGACATATTCGGACAGTACATACATGTACTTGAAGAAATCAATAGAAATCGGTGATCACAATATTACCTGGATATGATGCAATAGCAAAAGAAAACTTGGTTAAACAATTCCACGAACACAGCTCTCTGTGAAGGCAGATTTTCGTACACGCAAAATTATTTTGACGCAAAAGCTTCATAGAAACAGCAAACAAAAGGAATGATAGAAAATTACGAGAAATAGTTAGAGAAAGAGCGAACGGAGAGACGGACGATCTGGGGGAGATATGAGGACCAAGTGAAATAAAATAAATCACCGCATTTATGATGACATAACTGCAGCTGCTTTTCTACAGCTGACAACGTAAATGATTAGGCTAGCCGGTTCAAAAAATTGGCAAAATTTCAGGTATTGATTGCAACGGCTAGGGAGGACATGGATAGCTCATTACAAGGGTGTGTGTGACAAGAGAATCGTAATATGCCGAGCCCCGACGGACGACTTTCCCTGCCCGGTCGTTGGAATCTGAAAGCCAAAGGGACGGGGAAATTTCATATAGCCCTTCATGGAGTCTTGTCTCCGCTTGAATTCAAATAAGTTCCGCTGCTAATCGACAAACTGATGCACATCAAGGATTAGCCGCGCACTGCCGCATGCCACGTCGCGCGCGACGACGCGACATATGATGATTGTCCTGACCGTCTCCCTATGACAAAAGCCCAGCGAAGCCACCGAGGGGGTGCTTAGAAGAAGTGCCGCTACAATCGATTGGTTTGTAAAACTTCGATCAACTAGCCTTGTTTTTTTGCTGGACACCCCACCGCCGTTCGAGCCGTGTTCACACTCGATCACAAGAAACCTATCTAAGGCTACTCTACCCCATGCCCTTTACAAGATCCTTCAAACTCAGCCCTTTATCCCAGCTCTTTCCACCAATCACCTAGACTGGGAGTGGAAAGAACTGTTTCGAAGGCTTTGATTAATATCGATGTCCAACCCTACTCAGAAAGTAAAGTGTAACCCTACCCGGTATCACAGATTCTGCGACACACTTGCCCTGCTTTTAACTCTGAACGGTACATTTGGCACCACCACTTCCCAACCTGGAAAATCCTAGAAGAAACAACAAGGCATACCCTTGTAAGTGAGACCCTTTCCCTGCAACTCTGTATGGAAACGCAGCAGCGCCCCATTCAGTGAGCGAAAACGAGAAATCAGTGAAAAGCCTCACGCTCAATTAAATCATCCCTGACCGGCCGCCGTCAATACCTTGTATTTTTCAGCAGGTCGTCATCACAGCAAAGGTACGACACATGACTAAATTCCTAACAATGGCAGGCATTCAATTAGGTATAAAATCTACAGGCTTCAGATCACAGCTTTCCAATGTAAAAAAGAGATGACAGGAGGTTAAGAATTTTCTTCGGCTGTTCTCCGTGCTTCACCTATTTGTTCAGAAATGTGATGCATAGCTATCACGAGGACTTGATCTTGCCGCCCCAATGTAATCGAAACCGGCCATTTCTCCAGTTGATGTTCGGTGTTAGTATTGCGCGAATGTAGATGAACGGCGCCAATCCTTCACGGACCGCCCACGCCAATGCGAAAGCCGGCAAGCCGTATGGCAGAGGGCCATTCTGTAAAAAACGTCAAATTTGTTGAAGCTGGCATTGAACAAAGAAAAACCTGTCAGACTGCGGCATTCCAAAAAACTCTTCAATAAGAAACTTGTATTCGCGCGACTACGCTAAATTCTAACAACAAGGCAAAAAGTAAAAGCGCGCTCATACTTCGCAATTGCGAACTGGATCGCGCTCAGATGGGTCAACTGGATCGCGCGATTGGATCAGCGATCCCAACCAGGGCGCCCCACCGCCAAATGGTGCTCCGCCGCAAAGGCAGAACTCAAATGCGATAATCCGTTTTTCTTATATCTTCGTGTACAACAAACATTGCTTTTTCCGAAACCTTCTGGAAAGTGTGTTACATCTTAAAGTGTTGTGTTTTCATATATTTCTCTTCGTATACTCTTAGATTTTTTACGGTGGTAAACCGATTGGTGGTGGAGACTCTTGTCGCGATCGCTTGACTGGATTGCCCGACCCAGTCGAGCGATTCGATCGCGCGATCGCGAAGTCTGAACGCGCTCTAAGGAGGGTGACGAACACAAGAGGCTCACCTGTATTGATCGATTCAGAGCGTAATCACATGAAATCCAGAAGAAACAGTGCACTATGTAGTAAGCTATAGGATTTAGACCGAATAGGTGGTTAGCGCACATACAGCCAATAAAACCGGCCATAAAGCAATCCTGAAGTAGT